AAGTTTAGGTAGACCAAATGTTTGTTAGAAAATCCACCCGATGGGTTTCGTAGAGATGTTGACATTTAACACGAAGACACACATTACAGTTGACATAAATAATATTCGTAGTTTAGGGATAAAAACCATGGTTTTATAAAACAGTGGGATGAATGTCATTTTGTACATGGTTTATTGCCTTCTAAAATGTCAACATTTAAAATTTGGACGTCCACGGGGAGTAACCAGAGGTGAATAGGCATACATGTTACTGTAATTGGGTTATTAGAAATCTACTAGGTGAAACCCGTCGAAATCGACGGTTACTTTCTTCAAGGCTTACCTTAATTCATCTAACTGCAATAAATTGGGTGAAATATACACATTTTGAGCATTTAGCATTGTTTTAAGAGTAATAAGTGTAACAACAATAATGATATTAATTGCGTTAGTTGCCAAATTTGGTTGATCATTCAATGAATAACATATTCCCCATACCGTACGTCATCGGTGTTATTATTAGTATGTTATATTGTATCTCTTTCTTAGGAAGAACTTTTAAACAGTATTAAAATCGTATTGGTGGATCTTTTGTAGTTAAACACTTCAGTGATTTGTAACATGGTTTTATTTCAAAAGAAAATAATGTTTGGGAAGACATATTCTAACTTCAAAGGGGTATATCCGTTACAGTGTAAGTTTCATTTTTCCTTCGTCACGTCGCGTCAGTTCATATCGTACTTCTGTGCTAATGAATGAACCCTCTAGCATATTTTTGAGAAATTGATTGTGGTTTACTGCTGGAATTCCTTGACATGGGGGATGTCAGTTAGTTGTCTCAGCCTTATCCATAAAGTTGTCAATATAATCTCTCTACGGAATGTTAGGTGTAGTGGAATACTTGAAGTGAAGTTGGCTTTTATTCTTGAACTGAGGGGCCTTCTAGTTCATATGGTCATGCGGTTTCATTGACAACAAATAATGCAAATGACATAGCAATGGGACATTTCCAAAAAGCAAAAATACTGTAAATTGGCTGTTACGTATATATTGACGTTTACATATTGTTAATCAACGTATCTTATAAAGGATTATGTGATCTAGTTTAAAAGGAATATGGCCTTTCTGTCATGAGAGTAGCTGCTTAAATAGTATTTTCTCTTTGTGTCATATTTTACAGCCAAAACGTCGTGTTATTTTCAATAATGTTACCAAACCAGTGTGCCAAAGTCCGTAACAAAGGCAGGTGCAAATATTTTTTCAAGATGGGTACCATTTTAGGCAAGGTTTCTATGTTTGGATTTTATTAGACACGATAAGAGCAGATATTTCCACATAAATATTTGATATGTGTAGAATAATATGATAAAATGTAATGTAGGCAAAAATGGTGAAAAAGCAGACACCTACCCGTACAATAGATATAAGATAGTTCAATAAGAAATACTTTAAGAATTGCTGTGATAAAAGGATTTTCCACTGATTTCGTAATGGAAAGTTGCAAAACATGACATGATAAAGAAGAAAATCAATTTTTGTTTAATCAGAAAATAACATTGCAAATACTTATTTGGTAGAATTCAGTAACTCCCAATAAATGTGTGTTGTTTGAAATACAATTTAAAAATGAACAGCTGTTTCATTAAAAAGTATTATTCACATGGTCAAAATGTAAACAACTCTGTGGAGGGATCTTTAAAGGCTTCTGGGGCAGAGTCCTAAGGGATTTTGTATGTTTTTCTTTTGATAACTCATCTACAGACCAAGACCTTTCTTTGGACACCTCTACCAAGTTTCTACGCCGAGCCGTTCTCTCAAATTAGTGGGGACAAAGTTTCCAATTAAATATTTAGATTCATCCATGTTAATCTTATGGGAGAAACTCCAACATTGATGGCCTGTGGGGAAAAGCTTGAGGACTTTTATTACAGGTATTGGTGAACGGGGTGTCTACACAAAAAATACTTCATTTTGACACATCGTTTGTAAAAATCCGTCCATTATTAACGGAGGAGTAGTCTTTCGTAGAAATTGCCTTCACGTATTATTATGCATGCATATAAGGATACTATTATAAAGAAGAGGTGGTGTCTGTGTGTTTGTATGAGATAATCTCAAAAACTACTGAACCGACTGGGCTCAAATTGCACACAACTGTAACTACAGCTCCGAGGATACATATAGAACTATTCCCGCTTCGATATTGTCCTAGGGCTCTGCCCCGTGGGCTTTCAAAAATTTGAGGTGAGAGATTTAAAAGTAAATATTGATTGATGGTATCCATGGTAACAAAGAACAAACCTACAAAGCTCAAAAATTTAAACAAGCAGAACTAACAAACTGTCAAATGAATTTTGATTTCACAAGCCACACAGCTGGTTCAAACAAATTAAATACTGCACGAATGTTAGAACAGAGAGGGTAAGGATTATAAATTTAAAATAATGATGTCACTAGCCCTATTGTAAACATTATTTAATATTACTGAAATGCTTAAATGGAGCTGTCAAACCATAATATGTTAATGTGATTTCATAAGTATAGGATTCTTTCAGTTACTTTTGTTTATGTTTATGATCTATTATACTGAGTCTGTTCTAATATTTGTGAAATGCTGTAATAATGTTTTACTGGGAAAAATTTGTTGTAAAAAAAATCATTTATAGATACCGGTATAGGAACTAATTAATATTCTATAATCATTGCCGTATCAACCTAGGCCCTTATCGTGAGTTTTATGAGGTTTATTTCTTTGAATTATTTTTGTGTAAACCAGTAATATATAATCCCCCTGCCGCAGCAAATCTATAGACTGAGCGAATTTCCATTTGCCTGATTATAATTTCACAAAAATATGTTAGAAAATTACCCATAATTTTCCATATTTATTTATATTTTCCTTTTTTTCTATTTTTTGGTTTGGAACTATTGTGATAGCTTTTCGTTTACAGTGCAAACCATTAAACACATTCTTTTATTATACCTTTAAATCCATCATTGGTTTTGTATCGTAGGTAGGCCGAGCCTAAATAAGTATTAACAGTATGAGTTAACAAAAACGTACTATTATCAAGTTAAGTAATACAGTTAAAGTTTGTTTCTAAATTAAATGGTAGGAGAGAAACCATTTGGCATTTTCAAAGAACCTGTGTATCTTTTGCATACTGACCCCGTTGCAAGGCACGGGTATAGCTGTTGGCAAATACGAATAGTAGCGCTGATTTGCAGTAGTAGTTCAATAAAATAACAAGCGACCGGCTGACCGGCACAACTAATTGTGACCAACGGGATTGATTTATTTAGTATCTTATATGTATTAGAAATCATGTACTACCACAAAGTCTTCTTTCTACATCAATTACAATTCCATAATACCCCCACCGCAGCAAACCTGCAGCCAAAGCAAATTTCCATTTGTGTGGCTTTATTTCAATTCAATCTAATTCAATAACGTTAGGTTTAACGAGTACCTAGGTTTGCTGCCTACAGGGAGGGTAACGAAGTGTGATTTTTAGAAAAATATTATTAGCTTAGTATGAAATAAATAAATTTGCCAAGTTTAAAGAAAATCTATTCATAAACGAGCAATATTACAAAAGGTTTACTTATCCGACTAAATATTATAAGTAAGAAAGTTTTAATGTATATGGATGTATGGATGGATGGATGGATGGATGGATGGATGTTTGTGACAAGTAAACGCGAAGAATACAAACCGACAAGGTTGAAATTTGGTATGACGATAGCTGACATTCCCGATTAACATATAGACATATTCTTACCTCAAAATTCCTTTCAGTTTCCGCCCCAGTGGCTCTGGCCATGGAGTGTCTCATGTTAACCTTATGAGTATTCATATTTAAAGAAATTAAAGAATTTTGTCCAGCCTTTTCAACTGCACAAAAGTTGGTTCTATGATATTAAATAGCATGAAAAAGTTATAAGGCTTGCCAATAGGGGAGGCAAAACGCGATAATTCCTCGGACGATTCGGTAACGGGGATATTCCCCGCGAGCCGGGTAGATGCAGGGAGACGTCCGCTCAATTACCCACCCGAACCAGTTTTGTCCGGCTCACGCACTGTCCGCCTCACGCACGTCCGGGGGAAACACGGTACCGTTTTGAAGAGGTGGAACAGAAGCTGATTATGACTCTAAATGAACTTTCCCAGTACTATGACGCAAATCACCTGAAGCCGAACCCTGCTAAGACCCAAGTTTGTGCCTTTCACCTAAACATTAGAGAAGCAGGCCGTGAGTTGAATGTGAGGTGGCGGGGAGACCGTCTTCAGCATTTAGCCCAGTCAATAAAGGTATTGTGTCGGAAGTAATTAGTGAAAGGCTGATTTTTTGCCCATCGACTATTACCATTTAGACAAGTGTTCAGCCAAAAGTCCCCGCCCCCACCCCTCTTGCTTCCCCCCCTGTGCCCCCCTAAACATTTAAAGTGTAAGGGTTTCGTAAATCACGTTTTTCTCGATTGTTAAACGACATATTGAATTGCAATTAGTTTTATTGTCTTCGTTGTAAAATTTTCTACAATCCTATTTGATTGACTTTCGTCGTAGCTGATATCGTTTGTTAGTTATTTGAATAAAAATGTAAAGATTTATATATTTTTGAACATATAATTTTATTTATGTCGCCTTAACTTTTTTTGCTGACGCTTTATGAAAATATGTTCCGAACAAAAGTTGTAGCTGCTTTCATTAGCTTTAAAATGATGTATAATAGTACTTACTTTAATCAAAATCCTGCGAGATTTAGACGATGTAATGCAGTATGCATACTCAATCCGTGAGCTAAGTGGCTTTGCAATACTATCATTGTTGTAATATGGAGTGTTTTTTTTTTTTTTTTTTTTTTACTTAAGGTACACTATTGCATTATCTCCATATCCCACCGCAGCAAACCTGCGACTACGCAAATTTTCATTTACCTGGCTCGATATTTACTAAAACATTCCCTTAAAATCGTCAGAGTTATTTCTTGATCAGATTGACATAAAATGAGGTTACTAACCTGTCGTCAATCAGTCCTCTATTGTCTTTGATGACTAGAGTTTCGGGGTTATAACCCCATTTTCAAATCTTCTCTTCAGTCGTCAAATGTCAAACATATTTTCTTGCGTAAGCCGTCGTCAAAATTACTTTACATATACACATAAACACACACGAAAACATTTATAAATACAAAGCATGTACATGCGCGTGAGGCCGGCCAAGGACAAAACCAGACTGCAGGGTTTGATAAGACTGTAGGTTAGCCGATGCCTACTTGATGGTGTTGACCTTGGGGGAGGGGAACCAGCTGTTTATCTCCTCTATTGTTCTGTAGTTTGGTCACTCTGTCAAATAAAATGTTTGATCCAAAATTTAACTTCTCGTTCAAAACATCATTTGGGGAATTTTTGATTGCCTTGTAAATTTCAAATGTTTCCAGAACGTTCATTTTATTACCTTTATTACATTTGTGTAATATCTCTAAATTATCTATGCAACTGTTGACATTGTGATTTTCGTTCATTAGGTGTTCTGCAAACTTAGATTTTTGTGTTTGCAATTTAGGCTTGGGGAGGTGTTCTACATACCTTTTCCTAAATGAACGACCTGATTGACCTATATATACCTTGGGACAATCGTTGCATGATAATCTGTACACGCCAGATGTTTCAAGACTGTTACTATTATCAGGAGGGGATGTGTTCAATTGTTGTTCTAATTTCTTGGTAGTCTTACATGCCAGAATGATGTTTTGTTTTTTTAATTCATTTTTCAAAGTGAAATGTAGATTATTGCCAAACTCAATGGATACAAATTTACTCTGAACTTGAAGCCGATGCTATAAATGAGTTAATTAGTTTACTTGAAATAGTTTTGGAACAAAACTACTTTTCCTTCAACGGAAAATTCTATCTACAGGAAGAAGGGTTAGCTATGGGCTCTCCACTGTCTAGTATTCTTTCAGAAATTTACCTCAACAATTTTGAAAATGAATATATTTTCTCCGAAAATAACAAATTTGCTAATAAAATTAAATTCTATAAAAGGTATGTTGACGACACTATTGTTTTATTCAATGGAAATGTGAGACAGTTAAACTTGTTCAATAATTATTTGAACAGTATATACAATAATTTGCAATTCACCTTGGAGACTGAACAGAATCATTCCATCAACTTCCTTGATCTATCATTAATAAAAAACAACAATAAACTTACATACAGAATCTACAGGAAACCTACAACCACCGACCATACTATTCACGCCACTTCAAATCATCCGCAATCTCATAAAATGGCCGCATATAATAGTTTTGTGAATAGACTCTTAAAGGTGCCAATGACCCAAGAAGATTACAACATTGAATACACAATTCTAAAATACATAGCAGTAAATAATGGTTACTCAAGCAGCATTATAGATAAGATCATTAATAAACAGAAGAACAAAAAGTCTCCAGATGAACATAATTCTAAATTTGTATCCATTGAGTTTGGCAATAATCTACATTTCACTTTGAAAAATGAATTTAAAAAATGTGTTCAATTGTTGTTCTAATTTCTTGGTAGTCTTACATGCCAGAATGATGTTTTGTTTTTTTAATTCATTTTTCAAAGTGAAATGTAGATTATTGCCAAACTCAATGGATACAAATTTAGAATTATGTTCATCTGGAGACTTTTTGTTCTTCTGTTTATTAATGATCTTATCTATAATGCTGCTTGAGTAACCATTATTTACTGCTATGTATTTTAGAATTGTGTATTCAATGTTGTAATCTTCTTGGGTCATTGGCACCTTTAAGAGTCTATTCACAAAACTATTATATGCGGCCATTTTATGAGATTGCGGATGATTTGAAGTGGCGTGAATAGTATGGTCGGTGGTTGTAGGTTTCCTGTAGATTCTGTATGTAAGTTTATTGTTGTTTTTTATTAATGATAGATCAAGGAAGTTGATGGAATGATTCTGTTCAGTCTCCAAGGTGAATTGCAAATTATTGTATATACTGTTCAAATAATTATTGAACAAGTTTAACTGTCTCACATTTCCATTGAATAAAACAATAGTGTCGTCAACATACCTTTTATAGAATTTAATTTTATTAGCAAATTTGTTATTTTCGGAGAAAATATATTCATTTTCAAAATTGTTGAGGTAAATTTCTGAAAGAATACTAGACAGTGGAGAGCCCATAGCTAACCCTTCTTCCTGTAGATAGAATTTTCCGTTGAAGGAAAAGTAGTTTTGTTCCAAAACTATTTCAAGTAAACTAATTAACTCATTTATAGCATCGGCTTCAAGTTCAGAGTAAATTTGTATCCATTGAGTTTGGCAATAATCTACATTTCACTTTGAAAAATGAATTAAAAAAACAAAACATCATTCTGGCATGTAAGACTACCAAGAAATTAGAACAACAATTGAACACATCCCCTCCTGATAATAGTAACAGTCTTGAAACATCTGGCGTGTACAGATTATCATGCAACGATTGTCCCAAGGTATATATAGGTCAATCAGGTCGTTCATTTAGGAAAAGGTATGTAGAACACCTTCCCAAGCCTAAATTGCAAACACAAAAATCTAAGTTTGCAGAACACCTAATGAACGAAAATCACAATGTCAACAGTTGCATAGATAATTTAGAGATATTACACAAATGTAATAAAGGTAATAAAATGAACGTTCTGGAAACATTTGAAATTTACAAGGCAATCAAAAATTCCCCAAATGATGTTTTGAACGAGAAGTTAAATTTTGGATCAAACATTTTATTTGACAGAGTGACCAAACTACAGAACAATAGAGGAGATAAACAGCTGGTTCCCCTCCCCCAAGGTCAACACCGTCAAGTAGGCATCGGCTAACCTACAGTCTTATCAAACCCTGCAGTCTGGTTTTGTCCTTGGCCGGCCTCACGCGCATGTACATGCTTTGTATTTATAAATGTTTTCGTGTGTGTTTATGTGTATATGTAAAGTAATTTTGACGACGGCTTACGCAAGAAAATATGTTTGACATTTGACGACTGAAGAGAAGATTTGAAAATGGGGTTATAACCCCGAAACTATAGTCATCAAAGACAATAGAGGACTGATTGACGACAGGTTAGTAACCTCATTTTATGTCAATAGATCAATCCTGGAGGCAAATTATGTATAAATTGATCAGATTACTGTATTTTAATGAACACTTAGGTTTGCTGCTACAGCCAAGTTATTGAAGATTGTTCTTTTAATGAAATGTTGATAGCTTTTTTATGAAATAAATAAATGTCATTAATATATATCTATGAACAAGCAAACTTCAACAGTTTTTTAAAGAATAAAATGGGAATTTTAAATTTAAATTTTTATGAATTATCTCCATAACCGTTAGGCGTACAAGTTGCTCCAATATACAAAATTATTAATTTTTTTTTAAGCTACTACAAAATGGTTTGGAAAGAAGTTGTAATATTTTGGGGTTTTAGGGGGAAATGGGAATAACCAACTTTTACCCCATAAAAACTCCCATAAACCCCTATTCCCATAGTCCGATCATGCTGGTTCGCAAACTCGTTCGAATAAACGTAAATCCATACGTTTGTACCCAATTAAATCAAAATCGGATCATTTTTGCTTGAGTTATCCCGCTAACAGACTCATATTATATATGATTTTAAATTTTACATTTTATTTATGAACTTGAACGGCGGAGGGTGTTTTCAGCCTCTGAGGGCCTCAAAACGAAAAAGTAAATCGGGCCTGGGTCTAGGTTTTACCATGAGACCTACGGTAATAGCTTATTCCCTATAAGAGGGTTTTGCTAAAAATACAACCGAAGCAAACCCAATGTACAGTTAACAAAATTTATTTCTATCCTTTTTATTTAAAAAGCATGAAATAAAGGTTATATGTACGTAATAATTGTATTGGATGTTATTTTTGAACAAAATAATTGCATTATCATGATTTGAAGTTAAGAATTATTCATACATCGAATTGCAATTTTTCTAGCCTGGACCTAACCTAATCACCCCAATCCGTTTTCCTATTATCAGTACATTTACTTATAGTTTGTTTGGTAGTTGAATTACCGTATGAAGTACATCGACTGCTTACCTATTGTTTATTGGTGTCTTAAAATTACAAAAATCTAGAAAAATACAATAATGGGTAGAAACATCGTCCTCGAGTGCGGTAACGATTCAGCTATGGAGCGCCACATAAAAATAGTGCACACACCATGCATTCACGGTTGATATATGGCGTTACATAACTGTAAAGTACACGTTTCAATACATCATTTTAAAGCTGATAGCAGCTACAATTTTGTTTGAAAAATACTATCAAAAATTAACGGCATTAAAAGTTTTGCAAAAAAATATAAGTACAAAAAAAAAATACCTTTACATTATTCTACGGATAACAAACAAACGGTAACAGTTGCGACGAGATTTAACTGGACATGATTGTAGGAAATTTTATTACAAAGGGAATAAAACAATTGCAATTCGATGTATGTTACATTTTTAACTTCCAGATCTTTGATCAAAGATAACATCCTTTAAAAATACTACTGTTATGAAAAGAAATGTTTAGAAACCAAATTTATATGGTTTTATTCAACTTAATAGTCAGCTACATTTTACATGAGAGAATTGCACAAAACTGTAAACATTAGGTACATACATAAACAAAACAGTCTTAAATAAAACAGCTGAATAAATATTTGACAGTAAAAAAGGAATCATATTACATAACATTCACCCCATCTTTTTTTTAAATGTAATCCCTTAGATAGGTGGGAGGTCTTCGGACTCTAGTGGAACGACGCAGGTTTGTTTCTTCGTTATCCCTCAAAGAAGTAGGGGTCACGGTCTCATGCAGAGGGGATGTTTCGATTTCAGATTGAATAGAGTTCCCAATTTCAGGTTGAAGCAGATTTGATTCACGTCTCAGGTCTTGAAGAGCAGGATCTAGTTCTTGACTGGGATTTTCCGAAGTCACTGGCTCATCCTCTTGTTGGATAGCTTCAGAGCGAGATGTCGCACCGATACCAGAGCCTCTCTACCATCTCTATACTTGATGCGAGCATAGTCTGGATTAGCCTCTATCAGCTGAGCTTGTTCCACTAAAGGTTCATATTTGTTATTTCTTACATGCCTTCTCACTAATACTGGTCCTGGATTCATGAGCCATTGAGGTTGAGAGGTGCCATAAAATGATCGTCTCTGGTGTTTGAAAAGTCGTTCATGTGGGGTCTCATTCGTAGCTGTACATAGTCACGAGCGTATACAATGCAAAGCTTCTGGCAAAACATACTCCCACTGTTCTGTCTTCAGTCCCTTGTTTCTCAGAACAAGAGATACAGTCTTCCAAATCGTTCCATTATATCGCTCAGCTTGAGAATTACCTCGAGGGTTATAAGGTGAAGATCGGCTAGTGGCGATTCCTTTAGAGTGTAAGAAATCACTCAGTTCTTTTGACATGAAAGCAGAACCTTGGTCGGAGTGGACAAAAGCAGGCATACCAAAGATGGTGAAGATTGATGTAAGTGCTTTGATGACAGAAGATGCTGATGTGTCCGAGCAAGGAATAGCAAACGGATATCTTGAAAACTCATCAACAACCGTGAGTATGTATTTATTCCTTGACACAGATGGTATTGGCCCTTTAAAATCAATGTTAAGTCTCTCGAAAGGAGCCATTGCATGGATGAGTGTTGATGGGGTTTTTTGGTAGAACCGAGGTTTCACTTCCGCACAAACAGAGCATGAAGCGGTCATTCGCCTGGCATCTTCGATAGAGTAAGGGAGATTTTTACTTTTTAAGAAATGAACCATCCGTACTATTCCAGGATGCCCAATGTCACAATGAATTCTACGGAGTTTTTCGAAATCTCTACAAGAGATGGAAGATGAAACTCGTGAAAATGCATCTGCTACTACGTTTTCCTTGCCAGAACGGTACACTATGTCATAAGAGAAAGGTGCTAGTTCCAATCGCCACTTTAAAATCTTGTTGTTCTTAACCTTTCCCGCTTGTTTCTGATTGAACATATATGACACAGATTTCTGGTCTGTAATTAATTTAAACCGTCTTCCAATCAGGAAATGCCTCCATTTCTGTATTGAATCGAATATTGCGAGGGCCTCTTTTTCCACAGCAGGTAGATGTTGTTCACTCTTTCTTAGTTAGGGTTCTTGAAAAGAAACATATTTCTTCCATGAAATTCTTGAAAGTGGTTTTCCAATGTTTCCACTGACGATCAGAATGGGGATCATTAGGGTCTAAAGATAGGCGCTCCGGCTTGAAGAATTTATCCATTTAGATTTCTTGGAATAAACTTGAATAGAAAAGATAGAATACAACTTGTATAGAAGAACTTGTAATAATATAGTTAAAAGATTAAGTTGAATAAATTGTTATGAAAAGAAATGTTTAGAAACCAAATTTATATGGTTTTATTCAACTTAATAGTCAGCTACATTTTAGGGTGCGTACACAAAGAACGCCGGTTGCCGGCGCCGGCAAACCGGCAGCTTGCTCCTCGTGCTTAGGGTACGTCCACAATGCACGCTGGTATAAGCAGGAAGTCAGATTCAGATTTTCGGTGCCGAGTGTCTGACTCAGATGAGGTGGCCATAATGCAAGCAGGTTGTCAGCCGGACCTGTCTGTGTTGAGACCTATTTAAGGGATACTTTACATTGATACATACAGGAGTGAAAATTTAAAAACGTACGTTTTCAGGAAAAGCACTTTGCAAATTTTTTCCCCCTTTTTTAAAACTTTTATTATTTTTTTTTATTTCATTAACATTTGAAGTTTCATAAAATGTCCATGGTAACGCAATATCTTTGGTAATTTTCTTTTTAAAGAGCATCTTTCGTAGAAAAACACAAAATCCTGTCACAACCATAACGGACGTTTAAATGAATATTAAAAATAGTTAATACTATTTTTATAACTATGTTTTGCTATAAACTAATTTACTTTTATGACCATTATACAATAAAAAGGTCATTGAGCTTTTGGTATATTTGGTCTTTCTAGAAAAAAATAAAAAAACTCAAAAAAAAGAAAAAAACCAATAAAATCTTTTTAAGTTTGTATAACTCCGAAAAAACTTACCTGAGACCCGAAAAATCGTTATGTTTGTATAGAGGTGTGCTTCTTTTGTGTATAAAACATTGAAATATGACGATATTTTAATTTTTGAAATTTTTATGATAGAAATCATAAACGTGATGGTCAGGGACAAGCGGTACGGTCGTGAATTCTCTGGAATAATCAAAATCTTTCTAAACAATCCTTCAATTAGACTGTTAGTTATAATAAAACTATGTGTTTCAATTGAACTAAACTGTTCAATTTACAATTATATTAAAGTTATTGTCACGACCAAACACACTATAATCCATAAGGCTGGATCGGTCGTGAAAAAAACCGCGATGGTCGTGAAACTTTGGTCGTGAAATTACGTGTTATTTGGCTCTGTTCTGGCGGTAGCCCTGCACCTCATGTTCGAGGATACAAAGTGGACTTCTAGGTTAATCTAGCAACTAGTGTACATGTTGCTCGAATTCGAGCAATTGCAAAGTATTACAGGAGTTTCAAAATGAATAACAGTCATATTTACAATGAGCTCATTGTATAAGAGTCAACTCAAAGATTTACCGATGTGTAACTCAGACCATGTTTATCTTCGTTATTGATAAACCTAAAGCATTCCGGCCGGTTTTCTCCTTCTCAAAATAACTCTCCGTACAGGCAATACAGGCCATTGATAGAGAGGGCCAATTGAGAACGAAAAGTTGTTTTGGGGCAGTGTTAGGGCGCATTTGTAACCTAAGTTGAGATTGTCCAGGGTCAGTCAGATGCTGACTGTGATGAGTTAAGCCTATTACGCAACACTGTTCAGTAGCTGCGATCGTTATCACGATTACGCCTCCTGTCTATGTTTCGTTGTCGTCGCGTCGGAGGCATTTAAAAGAGAAAAAAAAACAATAAATAAACAAATTATAGCTACACAAAACAACGATAAACGCACAAATTTAAGTTACAATCATACTAACACGATCCGTCATAGCGACACAAAACAACGATAAATACACAAATTTAAGATACAACCATACTAACACGATCCGTCTTGGGGGTTATGTTTACACAAACTCAATTAGTAAATAAATTTTCATTGAATTGAAAAATAAATAACAGCAATTAAATTATACAGCTGATCAAAATGTAAACAATTGTGTTCTTCATAAGGATAACATGGGAACTTTCAAAGCCACTGGGGCTGAGCCCAAGGGACTTTTTCAAAAATGTAAGGCCAGTTTGCAAATCTACGCGACACGCTCTTTCCAATGAGACATCAATGGATAAAATCGGTTAAGAAATGGTGGAGGAGTTCAACCGACAAAGTTTCATGTAGCGTATTAATTATATAGATTGAAATGTCTTATAAACAAAAATTAACACCATGTCTGTTATGTATGCTGAAATACTGTTCTGTAATTTAATTCAATCAGATGTTTTCATAAAAACAATGTTTGTTTACTTGTTACTTTTGTTATAAATGTTTGACAATAAAAGATTCTTCATTCATATATTTTATTCTATTTTAAATGTAATAACGTTACATAATGGCGCTGCACGGACATGAGGAATATGACAATGACGACACATCATCTACATTAACAGTGGAACAACCTACTACACATGGTTTAACTCATTTCAAGTTCGAGAAGTTTGATGCTACCAAAGAAACATGGAAGTACTACTACCAAAGGTTTGAGTTGGAAATAATTGTTTGTGGATTACAACACAATCAAGAAGCTAAAAGAATTTTACTTCTGAAATGGATTGGTGCTGAACATTATAGAATTGTGGTTGATAACTTTTATCCAACACCTATTTTAACAGTAGACTACGAGGAAATTGTTGAGTTTATTTCGAATTTCTATAAACCAAAAACATCCTATTTGGCCGAAAGACTAAAATTTGGAAAAATCGTGAAGAACAAAGATCAATCTATACGCATATTTGTAAACAATTTGAGAGCTGGTGCCACGGAATGTGAGTTTAAAGATACACTTGACGAAAGACTGCGAGACCAGTTCTTATTGGGCTTAAATGATCCTAAAATGCAAGAAGAGCTCATCAGAAAACATCCTGAGGAAAAAGCAAGACTTGTCGACATCGTTAAAGACCTACCTCATGGAAATGGCACATTCTCAACAACAACAAATAGAAACACTTGGGACATTTTCATGTGACACACAGATAAATAAGGTAGGGGCTACACGAACTACTAACAAAAGGGACAGTACTAGAATCAACTTGAATCCTGAGTCACAGTGTTTGAGGTGTGGGTTAGCAAAACATAAAACAGGTGAGTATTGCAAGGCAATGAATATTCAATGTAGAGCTTGTGGGAAAATGGGGCATTATGAACGAGTTTGTCTGAAATCCAATAATGTCGTCATTGAGAAAAATCTTTCAAGACGTTATGTCAAACAAATTGATAAGTTTGCTGGTATGAGTGATAATAGTGGCAATGTAGACTTTTTCCGTCAAAATAATGACGGATGTCCTGACATATCTGATGAGCTAGGAGATGAGCCTCCCGGTTTGGTAAAAAACATAAGTCAAATTAATAATGTAGAGAAATTTTGTTACGTTGTTAATTTAACAATAAATAGGGTTCCAATAATGATGGAATATGACACTGCTGCTGCAAGAACTATAATTAGTAAATCTACGTGGAAACAAATTGGTGAACCGGCACTGACTCCTACGGAGGAGCTGGGTGCTTATCCGTCATTTAGAATATGCTCGGCGAGACTAAGGTCGCTGTTTCATTAGAATCAACTACTTTGCAATTAAGTGTTGCTGTCACTGACACTGTTTCAGGGACACCTTTGTTTGGTAAAGATTGGATTGTAGCATTTAATCTAGATCCTAACTGTGAACATGTATGTAAGCAAAATTCTCATAGCGTCAATCATATTAACACGGACATTATAGACAAAGAGGGGGAGAAACGTAAGATATATAAAGAATTCAAAGACATAATTACCAATAACCTAGGAACAGTGAAAAATTTCAAAGCTAAGGTTAGAGTAGCTAATGATGTACAATTGCCAATACACAAACCGAGACCTGTTCCGTTTGCATTACACAGTGCAACTAGCAAGGAACTAGATCGTTTAGTGTCCTCAGGGGTCTTAGAACCTGTGGATCCGGCTACTACTCCGATCCTTTGTGCTTCTCCTTTAGTTGTTGTACCGAAGTCTAATGGTGAGGTACGATTATGTGCAGATTTCAAGGTATCAATCAACCCTCATTTAATCGATGACGAATACTGCATCCCTACGTTTGAAGAAACAGTGCTTAAGTTGAATGGTTCAAAATTCTTTTCAGTTATTGATTTGAAGGATGCGTATCTACAGATTCCAGTGGACGAAGAATCAAAAAAATATCTAGTGGTAGCGACACATAAAGGAAAACTGTAAACATTACATACATAAACAAAACAGTCTTAAATAAAACAGCTGAATAAATATTTGACAGTACAAAAGGAATCATATTACATAACAACTACATACCTAAAAAAACTATATGCTTTTTAAATAATAAACAAAATATTTTTTATGAATTTAAAAAAATGAACTTAAAGTGTTATTGACTTTACATTGGGGTTTCGATTTTTTTTAGGATAATACTATAGTGTATCTTAAGTAAAAAAAAAAAAAAAACTATTCTCCACATTACAACTATAATTGTATTTCGCGCTAGCCCGACCTAGACCACCACTGATTACACACATACTGAATTACACCGGATGAATCTCGCAGGATTTTCATTAAAGTACTATTATACATAATTTCAAAGCTAATGAAAGCAGCAACAACACTTTTGTTCTAAACGTATTTTCATAAAAAGTCAGCGAAAAAAGTTAAGGCGACAAACATAAAATTATATGTTCAAAAAAATATAAATCTTTACATTTTTATACAAATAACGAACAAACGGTAACAGCTACGACGAATGTTAACTGAGCAGGATTGTAGGAAATTTTATAACAAAGACAATAAAACTAATTACAATTCAATATGTCGTTTAACAATATAAAAAACGTGATTTACGAAACTCTTACACTTTATATGTTTAGGGGGCACGGGGGGGGGAACAAGGGGGGTAGGGGTGGTTACCTTTGGCTAAACTCTTGTCTAAATGGTAGTAGTCGATGGACAAAAAATCAGCTTTTTACTAATTCCCCACCCCCCTTAAAAACCCAGGTTGACCGGACTAACTATACTCGCGGATCCGCGCCGCGAGCGCTCTTGCGCCCGAAGCCGCCTCCCATTTCGGACTAATTCTGTCCACTGGCTGCAATTAAATACGTACTCATATCATATCATTTTAAAACTCATATCATTTTAAAGATAAAGAAATACGCCAACTTTTTATATAAAACATTTTTCTTTATCTCGTCTCATTTCAATACAAATCAACTTCACACACGAAGGTTGAAATTTAAAAGTTAAAAAATTTACATTCAAACTTAAATTACAAGTAAACTACTAAATATATCGATTACACTCTTATTGCGTTTTTTCTAGAGAATATATTAAGGATTG